CTAGCTCTCTCCTTTGCTTATGGGCCTGGGGTTAAATCTCTGCCCCATGGTAGAGATACCTATACGAGAGCCATACATGCTGAAGACACAGAGTCTTTGGATGCCAACCCCCTGCTGCAACACATTCACTTGGTAGCTTCTTGCAAGACACTGTATTCTCTCCGAGTGATGGTAATGTTGAACTACCTTGAACAATTGCTGCAAAGATTATTGAAATAATGTATGTGATGTGCTCTGAACACACTAAAGAAACACTTATATATATATGCTAATTGCCACAGTGTGCATATTGCGTCCAAAATTAAATGCAATAAAGACTTAATATAAAGGTAAAAGTAAAGGTTCCCTTGCTCGAAAGCCAGTCGAATCCGACTCTAGGGTTGCGGTGCTCATCTCCGTTTCAAAGCCGAAGAGCCAGCGCTGTCCGAAGATGTTTCCGTGGTCATGTGGCCGGCATGACTAAACACCGAGGCGCACGGAACGCTGTTACCTTCCCACTTAATATACTTAATATACTATTATATTAATACTATATTAGCTTCTGTAAAGGTTGCCAGGAAGATTTAGAACACCGCAGAATGTATTGGGAGGAGCCTCTGAATGAAGAAAGGAATCTCCTTTATAAAGTACTAAAGTTCAAACCAGGTGACTGAAATCAGTTCACCCGGGGGAAATGGCTGCTTTGGAAGGGGGACTCTATGGCATCGTATCCCATCGAAGATCCTCCCCTCCCCAAGCCCCACCCTCTCAGGCTCCACCCCTCCCCAAGTCTCCAGGTATTTCTCAAATGGGAAGGGCCAAGGCTCACTGGTAGAGCATCTGTTTGGCATGCAGAAGGTCCCAGGTTCAATCCCTGCCATCTCCAGTTAAAAGTATCAGACAGTAGGTGATGTGAAAGACCCTCTGCCTGGGACCTTGGAGAACGTCTGCCAGTCAGAGTAGAGGATACTAATTTTGATGGACCCAAGGTCTGATTCAGTATAAAGCAGCTTCATGTGTTCACATAAAGTTATTTGTGTAAACCCGGAGCAGGCAACCCTATGGTTAATGCTGTTTCAGTCAAGACACTGCTTGTTACGTTAGGAAAGCATTGCTTTATCTGCAAAACCCAGTTAGCAGTTAACCAAGAGAACATTTGAAGTATTTTGCCATAAATTTAGCACACAGCATATGGAACTAGAGTTCACCATTAAGCTTGCACCAGGTAAAGTCAGCCCAGGTCAAGCACTAACAGGCCAAACTAGCAGAGGAATCAAGCTCTCAGAGATAAGATCAAGTTACAGTGGCATATAGCGCTGGTGATTACATAGAATTTGTAAAACCTGTACTGGAAGCTGTCGGAAATTGCGCAATATACAAAAGTACACTTTCGCTTAGGGCAGCACAGCCCCATGGTCCAAAAATTTAGGAGGTAACTGGATTTGCTTTTCAGTTAGATGCTACGAGATATGCCCGTCCACAACTACATCCCCCACCCCCGTCATTGAAACAGGGTGCTGTGAAGGAGAGGGGATTTGTCTCTAAGTGTCCAATTTGCCGTACCTGCTGAAAAGATATTTTGGGAAGTAAAAAAGGCCCCAAGTCATCTTCCATTTGAAAACTGCAGGCTATAGAGCTATAGTCTTTCCATCACAACCTGAAAAAGCTTATTTTCGCTCCACTTCGCCACTTTGTTTTGTGTAAGAACATAAGAGACGCCAGTGTTGGATCAGGCCAAAGGCCCATCCAGTCCAACACTCTGGGTGATTTCCCACAAGCGCTGCTCCGTGCTCACTCCTCCCTTTTGCCCAGATGGTACGTGTCAATTTCACACAAGCTGCTGCGCGGCCGCATTTTGCCCCATGTACCATCGGGGCAAAAGGGAGGAGTGAGCGCGGAGCAGCGCTTGTGGGAAATCACCCTCTGTGTCACACAGTGGCCAGAAATACCAGGTACCATCAGGAGGTCCACCAGTGGGGCCAGGACATTAGAAGCCCTCCCACTGTTGACCCCCCCAAGCACCAAGAAGACAAAGCATCACTTGCCCCAGAGCCCCTATCTATACCTTGTGGCTAATAGTCACTGATGGACCTCTGCTCCATATGCCTATCTAATTCCCTTTTGAAGCCGTCCATGCTTGTAGCCGCCACCACTTCCTGTGGCAGTGAATTCCATGTGTGAATCATTCTTTGGGAGAAGAAGTACACTCTTGGGTGTACAAGCTCCATTTCCCCTCATTTAAATTTTTTAATGTTTATTTTTGACAAATGGCAAAAATCTAGCAATAGACGACTATCGCTAGTCTTGGATCACTGAATCTTTAAAAAATTAAATGATGGGGGACTTTTTGAAAGGAGCTGCATGAGCTTTGGTTCCCTGTTGCTATTGACTTGAAATGGGGATTGGAGAGGCAAATAGCAGTGTCCCCAGTGCAAAAAGAAAAAAAAAAGGATTTCAGTGCTGTATACAGACAAAATAAAGGCGGGGGTCATCCGTGTGAAATGAAATTGACATGAGATAGTTAGAGAGAGCGAGAGGGACTCAGAAGGGAAGCCTAGAGATTTGAATATATTTTTCCTTTTCATGCTTTAGTGAACAAAGTTTTTTTGGGGGGGACCATTTTGACAGTCTCTGGAAGCCTAACATTAAAATGGCGGCTGAGCCACATGGACCTTCTGCAAACCATCAAACTTAAGAATCGCTTGGGATCGATCCATTTGGAGAAAGAGTGCAATCCACACAGGACAGGCTTTAAAGAACTGCCAAGATCACGACAGGTGTGCAGGATCAAATTCGAGAATCACAAAAGAGAAAACCAGGTAAATTTGCAAGGAAGGGCAAGAAATTAGCATTGCTATGCAGCTGCGCTAGGGCATCAGTAAAAATACCCCCCCTTTTCCCAATTCAGTGGCACAAGACTAAAAAAGCTCTCCAGAGCTTTTTCCAGAGGACTCCTCCCATATACAAACTGCAGCCATGTGCAAAGCATGGTGGAGCTGCAGCCGACTTCGTATAGGTGCATGCAGGCATGCACACACATGTCGACAACAATCACAGCTGGCAATGCCAGTGGGTTATACCATGCATTCTGTACACTAAACATATTTCCCCTTATTATGAGATCATGTG